CGTTTTCTAACGGAATTATAAAATTTGTTATATTTTAAAACTTGCGCCAAAATATTTGGAAAAGCTATTAAGATTTACCGATTTGAAAAAACCTTAAAAAATCGCATTATTTTGATAAAATGTTCAAACCTTTGCATGGAGATTTTTTAAGCTTAAACTCTTTCATCAACCGAGGTGATTTTTTGAACAAATCACTTTTAAAAACTAATTTTATTTATAAAAAACGGGATTTTCGGATGTATTTTCAAATCGTTACAGCTCAACTAAACCTTAATAGTATTTCCAGATACAAAATATAATACATTTTATAATTTCGAAGGAAAAACCACGACTTTTTTCTGGTGAGACATCTTAATGTACATACGTACGTACAAATTTTCACAGCCACTTTTACCGCTAAACGACAAATGCATGACGAATTCAAACGTTAATTGAGGCAATTTTCGCGTTAGCGAATGGGGTGATCTATAAACTGCTTCTGGTAGTCTTTAGCAATTTTCTTTTGGGAATTTCGCAATGCCGAAGAAGGAAATAAAAATGTTAATATTTTTTTGCCATGAAAGATTTACGAAATTGTGTATCTAAATATGTACATGCATACATAGATAGTTGTTTAACTTACTGGCGATTTATAAATGCTCATACAGACGAGGCATTGCAATTTAAAAATTCGATCGAATTTCTTGCGGTAGAAGATAGATACTTAAGTCAATTGTTTGCAAAATAATGGAAAATAAATATGCCAAATTATACTCCTATACTCGTATACAAGGTAGTAAGCTTCATACGCGGAACTCACTCAATAGTTAATAGTGTTTCCACGACCGACCCCAAATTGCGCAATTCAGGCACTATTCTTAGTTCCATCCGAAATTGAGAATGGATTGTGGAATTGAGAATCAAAATTAAGTATTTTGTGGGTAGTGGAAACACCATGTAAAGGACGTACAAGTAGAAGCATTTTGCAATACTTAATTTGTAATTTACATAGTCTATTTATTCCATTCTTAGACTTCATTTTACGTTGGTGTATACGCATAATACTAGCTCGGTCTCAAAAGCTTACATCATGAGAGCTTTTCAACCATTAAAATTTTCGGTCGATTCCGGCAGTCGAAACATAATTTTTTTGACTAATGACTCAGCTAAAAGTCAATACGATCTTAAAGTTATGTACATACATATAAACTGTATTCAAAAGATAAGTAAATCTAATAAGTAAACCAATATTTCGTACTTTAAAATCGGATAAAACAAAAGCTTTATGAAAAAACCCTCTTTTTGCTGTTTTCAATGGCATAGTTCTCTAAAAGTGGACTTTCAAACTTTTTTCCCGACCCAGTCGAATACACATAATACGTCTCATATTAGTTATGAGCCCAAAAGAAACTCCATAATACAGTAGATAAAAAAAGATCTGGATTTATTGCTATAGCTGTAACTTACTTTTAGGCAAACCACTGTAATCTAAACAATCTAAAAGCTTCGAGTTTTGATCTTTGGAGAAAAATAATACTCTAGTGGCATTATAAGCTTTGGTCATTAGTGGTTAGAAGTGCGCATTACCATTCTGCAGGGGCTGGGATTGAGCCAAGTTTCCGACTAGCATCAAAACGAAAGGAAAGAAAACGGTTTTTGGAATGGCGGTCGCCCCTGAGTAGGCAATGGCAAACCTCGGAGCTTCTCATAAAAATTCAATAACAAATGTGCCTAAAAGTATGCAAAATGAAAGTTAAATAGTTGGAATTTAAAATCAGTGGTATGAAGTACAAGTTTTGTCTCTCTGTAAATGTTGTATATATTTAGGCGAGAAAGAATTTACTCTGCGTATAATGCATAAAAATTGCGTATAATGTCCTATCGATGCGTCCTATTGCGACGATTTGTGACAGACTGTAGCTTAGCATATGCAGGTGGCATTGATATCGGCCGCAGCGGTACAATAGCAGGCTAGTAAGTATAGCAATCTCCAGCGTAGAGCAGTAGGTAAAAATGGTTGGTCGATCGTAGGGGTTGTTCTCTTACATTTTTCGTCATATCTTCGGCATTTACAGTTTGATCTCAAAGTATGGCATATCGATTTTCTTTTCTCGAGGAAACACTTTTTTTGTTCCAAAGTTCATTGGCCTCAAGAACGCCATTCTAATACCTCGCCCAATTTGTTTTAAATTAAATTCCATCAAAAATCATTAAACTTTTGCTAAGGCAGTATTTCGATTATTCCAGTATAAGTCCGAGTATTTAAAAAGAATATTTACTGCCGAATGTAGGTTTCACAGGCAAAAAATTTGTTTATTTTCGAAAGTCTTCTTCTTCTTCTTTATTGGCGCTGTAACCGCCTAAGCGATTTTAGGCGAGTCCAAAACAGCACGCCAGTCGTATCTCTTCTGTGCCAATTGATGTTAATTGGAAATGTCTAGTGAAGTCAAGTCCTTCTCCACCTGGGCTTTCCAACGCAGAGGAGGCCTCCCTCTTCCTCTGTTTCCAGCATTGCGACTCGCGTTTAATGCTTTCAGAGCTGGAGCATTTCTGTCCATTTGAACCAGCGGAGCCGCTGAATTTTGATTCGCTGCACTATGTCTATATCGTTGTAAAGCTTATACAGCGCATCGTTAAATCGTCTGCGGTATTCGCCATCGCCAACGCGCAAAGGCCCGTAAATCTTGCGCAGAATATTTTTCTCAAAAGCCCCAAGAGCCGCTTAATCAGAGAGAAATTGCTTTGCATATATTCTTTTCACTAGCGGTAGTACGGCGATGTTTTTTTTGCTTGCTTGTGAGGTGGTACGGTCTAATGTACATATGTATGCAGTCAAGCGCGTAAAAATACAATGATTGTGGGAACCTATGGACTATGATAATAATGATAATAGATAGATATGTTGGTCTCGCCGAGCTTCTCTTCCGATTTGTGGAGTGCGCCTTGACGTTATCGCACTGCGATTGTATTTTTACGAGAAGCTGTTTTTCATTCAAATATAAATTTTGATTTGGCGGATGTTATCAATTCGTCGGAATTTTTTACTTTTTAATGTATGTTACCGCATAAATTTGGACCACGTTAACCGATTTCTATGATTCCTTTTTTAAAGGAAAGGTGGTACCTAAGAAGTGGTCCCATACTAATTTGGTTTAGATCCGTTAATTGGATCATGAAGAAATTAACGGCACTCGTACATTTTTATAAGAGATTTGAAGGCGTTAAAAAAAAAAAAATATTCGTTTCGCTAAAAAATGTACGCTCCTAGCCGTTTTTGAACAAAATTAGTGAAATAATCGAAAGCCCAACGATCGGCTGAAGTTCCAAATAAAAAGCTGATTGTATACTCGTACAATATTTCGAAATATTCAATTTATTCGGAGAATCGTTGGCAGTAATGGAAAAAGTAGCTTGCACCGCAAAATAAGCTGGCTGGTTGCTATTTTTAAAGGTTTCTTTTTTCTAAGTTCAGCTGGGTTAGGTGATCCTCCCAAAGACTAAACTTGAAACTGATTTAAGATCATTATTGATCGGTCAATCTAAACCAACCATACTCTCTTCATCCGAAAATAACTAGAACAAAGAATGATTTCAACCAACCTTGTTTGCTCCTACTACCTAAATCGTACAGATCGATATATGTAGATTTTATGCAAAGCTCTTTGTTTGCTAATTCCTCTTTTGATTGATCCCACAAATCAATATTAATTTATGATAATTTCGCAAGCTTACCGACATTTTCAACCATATTAAGCAACATGAGTTACTACGTGAAGGAAGGCATACACTCGTAACTTAGAGCCATTACAATGTTCGACTAATTGTAATTGTGATTAATAGTTGATTTTACGACTGCACAGGGGCTTAGCAAAGACATACTTAAACAGAAACTCGTCTATGATTCACACACGCCAAGTGAACGAGTTTTTGTGCAATTCTTGAACTACATTTTTTAACGTTTCAACTAAAATTAATACCATTAAAAATTCCACAATTTACATGCAATGCATAGCACAGTGGGTGGCTGCGGCTACATTAAAGTAGAAAAATAGACACATAACAGTAATTTGAAACCATAAATGTGCACTAGCAAGTTGGGCAGATAATTCAAAAATGCCATTAACAAAGCGTTTATAGTGCAGCTAAGCATTTTTTTCGTTGCACACCGAATGGGTGAAGTACAACTGAAGCACCACGTGGAGCCGCGTCGGCCGCATGAAGCTGTCTACTGTACTAATGAAAAGCAGCAGCGCGAACAGCAACAACAGTATCTAACCACATACGAAACATGTTTTGGCCAATTTTGCGTTTGCGGTGAATGTTGACCATTTGTACCCAGCATTACCTCCATCCAATATTAGCAGCAAAGTGCGGCAGTTGGAAGCGAGCGGCGGCTGGTAGCTTGGTAGCCGTGCTGCTGCATGGACTTGACCTTGAATAGTTAACTGCGGCAAATATATGGCTAATGAATAGCCGCGGTGCGCGTTAAATTATGCGAATGAGGCTCAGAACAAAGGCGCAGCGCGCCATGCGGTGCCAGTGGACGTTGTAATGGGCGGAGAAACGCATTAATTGAAATTATGGCGGGCGGGCAGCAGGGGGGCGGGAGACTTTGTAGCAATAAAACTACTTTCACAAAATGCGCTACAAGTTCAGTTGTTAATTTAGTTCCGTGCCGTGCCAATGGGCGGCCGTGACGACGGCTTGACAGTTTTGTGGGCGTTGTACGCATTGATTAAGCAAACCTGAGCAGGAGGTGCTACCTAGGCAAGCGACGCAGGCAGCTGTTTGATTGAGTGCAGAGTGGACAAATGGCGCTATTTACGAGCGCATAAAACATATTTTCATACTACATTAAAAACACCCATGTAAAGTAGTAAAGGGGACCGGTGTGCTGTGCGGAAGGTCAAGAGCCAAGAGCAAATAGAAAAAAAAATAATCGTTGATATGCAAAATATTACTAATTTCATTTATTTACTTAGCGTAAGAAAATATGTACTCGTAAAATAAAAAATGCAACGTTTATAAGGACAAAAAAGACTTCCAAATGCACATTTTATTTACTTATGGACCAACAACAAACTCCAACTGTACAATAGCATTGAGAACTTGAGGCGTTGTAAGAGGAAGAGCGAAGGAGTGCGGAAGTGGTGTTGAAGTTGGTGAAAATGGCCGGGGCGGGGCAGTGATTGGCTGGATATGCGGTGAGTTTCGATAGGATGCTGAAAGCGGGACTTCGTCCGACAGGTGATATTGTTACAGGCGCTGACTACCGCAGCTACATTGACTTTAACTGTAACTGTACTTGTAGCTGTGGCTGTGTCTGCGACAGCGACTGCGACTGTGGCTATGGCCTGCGCTTAGTTACAGTAAGGGAAGTTAGGGCACTGATGTGGCGACACGCCAGCTGGGTACTGACGTTCGGTCCAGCCGGGTAGTGGTGGCGCAGCGACGGCGCCATGATGACCAGCATTCACATCGCAGAATGGATAGTTGGGGCAGGTGTGTGGATTCACGCCAGCTGGGAATTTGTCACCGCCAGCGCTAGGCGCTGGTGCTGGCTGCCATGAGGGTGCGGGTGCGCCCCAGTGTTGTTCTGGTTGCCAAGCGGGAGCTGGAGCGCCCCATTGTTGTTGCGGTTGCCAAGCGGGAGCGGGTGCACCCCAATGCGATTGTGGATTGTGCAAACGGGCGTTATCACAGATCGGAAAGCCGGGACAGTCCTGTGGATTTACACCAGCCGGATATTGGGCGGCCGCCGGCAGGTGTTGGGGTTTAGCCAACGACACGCTGACGAGCGACAGGAGCACCTGTTGGTTGTAGAAAACGCGTTGATTTAGTTACGTAATTAATCCAATGAGTCAGTGTGGCAGCACAATTAATTTTTTTTTTTCGTATTTCATATTTCTTACTCACCAATTTGCAGAACATTCTTTGTTTTATATTCCTTTACGGCAACCACACTAACAAAAAAATGGTAAAAACAAAAAGTGTTACACAACACGAAATAACTCAATCGGACTATAAAAATTTAATTTTTTTGGGTTTATCGAAATTTTTAAACTTCCAATTGGTCTTTCGTACTGCGTCGTACTGTGGTTGCTGTTGGCCGCAGCTGACACTTATATACCCGTGCTATTAGAATTTACGTTTGAGAGTTCGAATTCGCTCACTACATATTCCAGTTAAGGCAGCGGCGCAGCGCGGCTGCAGCGGCATAAAAGTCGGAAAAATTGTAACAAACTTACGCGAGCGCAATGCCGCCTGCAGCCCGCCAACCACACGTACCGCTCGGACCGACCGTACACTAGCGTTAAGTTGCTCTAAGCGCAAACACTCATACGAACATTTACAGTTACAGCGCAAACACGCCCGGGCGTATACTTAATATAGAATTCGACACCTTACTCGCCGCCGCTATATGTATGCGCACAAAGGCAAAGCGTGCGGCCAGAAGGGCGGAGTAGCTGTTGCCGTTACCGCTGCCGCTGCTGCTGCTGCTGCTGCTGCTGCTGTTTAGTTGTTTGACTGATCGCATATTTTGTTTGATTGCTGCAACAGATTATTATTATTGAACCATGTTGCTGGCTCACTTCTTGTGAGCGCGCAATCCACGAATTGTGCTGAACCCACGGTCTGCGCATGCGCCGCTGCTTGGTTTGGCTTGGTGAGTGGCGTGCTTAGCGGCTTGCCACACTCTACTAGTACTTAGTACTTCACTGCCGACATTCAACTTTCATTGATTTTGGCCAAAATAGTAGTTAGAAGGCCAGGAGCGCACTATAGGCGTTTGCAGGGAGAATGGGCTGCGCTTAGAAGGGCGTAGACGGAAATGAGAGGGTCAGAAAGTCAATTTTGAGAGATATTGTTTTTTTTTTACAATGAATTTTAAGACAATTGATTTGCGCTGAAAATATGTTCGCCTTTGTTTACTTTATGCATAAATATAAAAAA